ACGCACAAAAATAAATGTATTTCTGTTTTAATATAATAATTCTTTTTGAACATGTCAGTTTTTTATAGTTTAACCGTACAATTAAAGTATATTTAGAAGAAATGTAGATATTTTAATTCCCTCCTTCTCTCTCTTTCGCTCTTACTTTGTTTACCGCAGTCAACAGGAAATAGATTTAACAAGATTAAAATGTTATCGTACAGCTTTAATTTTATTTATTGTACTCATTGTAGGTGGGCCATCAGTCCTGCCCAAAATTATGTATTTTTTTATCTTTAATTAAGTATCTGCGGTTTATAAAATACCGCTACCTGTTAGCACGAAGCCACCGCAGCACCGATTCTGATTTGATACATTTTCAGTCATTATAGACAATTAAATAATGTGTATGCCTCTTTATAATATTTAATAGAATGTATATAGAAATGTATGTAATTTAATGTAACATTAATCCGACAAGAAAAATATACAGTAAATAAATTATTAGTAGTAGTGAGTGTTATTTGATTATTACTTAATAAAGTCGTTAACAATGATTAGGCTGTGTTTATTGAAGCGTAACCCACATAGTTTTTAGTATCTAAACTATGTTTTTCAGGTATTAATATTAACCGTCAAATAAATAAGTTAAAAATCTTTTAAATTCCAAAAAATTAATAAACACCTTAACTTAGACTTAACACACAATGAACTTTTATTGTTTATTGTCGGGAAATTAACATATTTTTGCAACTAAAAACTATTAAAGGTCCAAACGCATTACGTGAAAGTCTGAAGGGTAGATGGAGGAGAATGGATCATCCATATCACTTGGATTTTGGAATCGTATCTTTTGTATGAGTGGCGAAATGCAGATGTGAATTAACGTTAATCTGGAAAAAAGACATTGCGGGTTCTTTCTCCATTTGTTGCAGATAGCTTAGTCTTTCTTGACTACGAAATAAATATACTTATTCAACATTTTTAGTCCACTTTATAATTAGGAACTCAATGTAAAAAATGTTTATTAGGATATCACAACAAACCGAAACAATGTCTGTTGTCCAGGTTTTTGGATGTGGTTGTGTGGTTCTCTTATTCTATTCTATTCTCTCAAATCGATAATAGTCCGTTGTTCCACGTTTGAACAAACTTCTATTTGATTTATACTTGTCAAGTTCACCACTGTATACAGGGTTAGTAATGGTACATAGCTTAATGGTATATTGTTAACGTCAAAACATAGTGATTGAGCCAAACATGCCTTAATCAATTGTTGCTCCTTTTCGTTTTACAGGGTGTTAAAGTTGAAAAAATATTTACTTTTTTTATCTATATTTTAAATATGTATGGACCGATTATGTTGAAAATTTGTAGTTTTACGTTTTTTGAGGAGGCAAATACGAATATGCCAACAGTGTTGGGGTCACGTCTAGAGGGCACTACTTATACTGTCCTATCAATGTAAAAATATGTCTAACTTTTTATATTTTACAATTTTGATATTTTTAAGTACAAATTATTAAACTACGTTCAATTCTAAATAAAAAAAGGTATACTGATTACAAATCGATAAACTAAACCGTTTCCGAGATACAGACGTTTTAAGTTTTTGAGATTTAGCGGGAATTAAATTAGAAAATTAGCGGGTCATGAGATACCAGGCCTGAATTAAGAATTAAGACAAACATTACAGCAACTGAAAATTTTATTATGCATATCTTAACAAATTATTAACTACCAGCGACTTCAATGCACTTTCTTAGCATTTTATTTTTTTGTCTGACGTTAAATAAAGTTCTATGTTGTTTGATAATATGAACTGATTCTTGAATATTTGTCCACAGTTGTTCATGGTCATTAATAATGTTTTTGTAAACTAAAGATTTAAGATATCCCCAAAAGTAAAAATCTAGTGGATTTAAAACAGGGCTACGTGCAGGCCAAGGTACTTCGCTACCGCGTCCAATCCAACGGTGCGGGAAATTTCTATTAAGATATTCTCTTCTCTAAAAAATAACGACAAGGAAAAAACTATTTCCTATTCAAATTAAGTAGAATTGGCAGACACAATATGATATTGTAGTGACAGTTGTTAATTTATTATGTCAATGCCTACTACTTTGGAAAAAATAATTTTCTGATTTAATTCCCGTCGAATCTCAAAAAATTAAAACGTCTGTATCTCGAAAACAGTTGAGTTTATCGATTTGTAAAAAATATACCTTTTTTATTTAGAATTGAACGTAGTTCAATAATATCTGGTTAAAAAATACAAAATTGCGAAAAATAAGAAGTTAGACATATTTTTACATTGACAGGACAGTACAACTATCGCCCCCTAGATGTGACTCCAACACTATTTGAATATTCGTATTTGCAACCTCAAAAATGTAAAACTAAAAATTTTCAAATCAATTGGTCGATACATAAATGAAATATAGCAAAAAATCGAAAATATTTTTTCAACTTTAACACCTTGTAGAACGAAAAGGAGCAACAATTGATTAGGGCATATTTGCCTCAATTGCTATATTTTGACGTTAACAATCTGCCATTGAGCTGTGTACCATTATTAATTACTCACCCTGTATACTATACAGTTGAACCAAGTCAGAATTTGTTTCAATTTATCACATAGCTTGACATTTATTAGTTTCTTTGACCCAGAATTCAAATTGTAGTTTCTACGAGGTTTGATCAAAAAGTAACTGGAATTGTAAATTTTCTTGGAAGATATTGATTTAATCTTCATTTTTGATCCCATTACCTTCAAATTCCTTTATAGGTATTTTTTTATACATTTTTAATTAAACATTAAAAACTTTTTAATATACTCTTTATACCAAGAAACTTATGAATTAAGAAAAGATACAATAGATATAACTCTAGGAATTCTCACTAATGACGGACTAAATATTGTTCATACTAAGCCATTTTTATTGAATTAACTATAACGCCTTATAGATTATCATATAGCTGCTGTAGATACTTCAGGTTTTTGTAAGTTCTAAAATTGTCTTATCATTAATAATATACGTACCTAGTATATTTTGTAACAAGCAATGAAAATGCCGAATAAAATATTTTGTTCTGAGTAGGAAATGTCTTTTCATACTCATACGAAAATTAAAACATCAAATATAGTTTATTAATTACGAATAAGTAATTTATTGCAAATATAATTTTGTAACTAACGAAAGTTGGTAAAAACTGATGTTTTTCTTTAAATTGTTATCAATTTTCAAAAAATTAATCAAGCTTCATGAAACTTTCGGAAAGTACTCCTCGATTCATGTGTAATAAGCTCCCGAAAATCACTATTGGACAGATGAGTCGTTTACAATAATACTTCATACTTACTGGGAATTTTGAAATGTAAAATTTTTGTAGGTCTTGTATTTTTACGAAAGGCCAGTATAGGTACTTATACTATACCTAAGACTTCAAGATGTAAGTGAATTGTGCAACATTTGATTTTATTAATTTTTGCTTATTTGGAAAGTTTTCAGCATGTAAATTTGACATTTTTTAAATTCTATTGGGTAGATTTTGAAAAACACGTACTTAAAAAAAATCATTTTTAATCAGCCCATACAGACGCCGGAGATATTTGCCTTTTTGTTAATAACTCGTTTGGTTTTAGACTTTTTGACCCGATCCGAAATTGTCACAACAGACTATAAATTATTGTAATTGGTAGGTACATCCATTAGACCATTATTTGTAGAGTACTGTATCAGTAGAAGAAATATATTTATTTAATGTCCACTGCTAATAGTTTTTGTTCTCCGATAACTTTTCTGGTTTTACGTTTCTCTAACAATCATTAAAGCTCTCCGAACAAAAATATCATGACGGGGCCCTGGGGCTTTGCCCCGAATTGCTACATAATAGTTACGCCACGGAGTGAACATTTTATAATTTGATATGTCATAGAGGGTAAATCATGAACTCTATGCCCGGATATCTACCACGGAACAATTTAATTGATACAAAAGTGAGCAGAAAAGGATATGGCGCCTAAATGAACACTCACCATATTTCTATTGTTTTTTTATTGCTGCTTTTTTTTCAGTATTACCAACCACATGATCTTATTATGTGTAGTCAAAGCCAAGGACGAATAATTTCCGTTAAACAGCTACTGTTAGACACTCTTTCACGAAATAATAAAAACTGAATTATGCATTTTAAAATTATTATATAAGAGCAAAAGATTTTGAACCAGTTCACGAACGCTTAATTATAGATATGCACAGGGTGACCGAATAAGTAACTTGCATGAAAATTTAATTTCTTTTAAAATACATAAACTTGTAGTATAAACCGACAACAACTAACAGTGATAAAATATTAATTTCTTTAATGCTACAAATGAGTTATAAATGTTTAAAATTACGTAAAAAACTTAATTTTGTTTCGAGAACGCATCGTGGCGTCATTTAGTGCGACGAAAAACACAACCTACTTTTTGGCCGTCTGTCGTTTGTTGTTCAATTCCCATATCGTCGAGACTCTAAACTAAAAACGTGCTTGCGGAGAATCGTGAAGGAAAGTGGATTCGGCTGCCTCTAGACTCTTGTTATTTACCATGTTCATGCTGTGGGGCCATTCTTTCTCCCTGTTATTCATGATGTCACGAATTAGCGCCGCACTTTAAAGCATTTATTTCGCGTGTCAAATTTTTAAAATAAGAACAGATTAGTAAAAACGAATTTTTACAATATTTCTGTGGATAACATTTCATCGTCATCGGAATTTAACAAAATAATATCCAATATATCTCAATATGCAAACCAAATAACATTCCTTCACCCTTCACACAAAATATTAATTTTACCAAAATAGTTACGTATCACGATCGTCATCTTCTATTTAAACCTAAATTAAAAGCACCATATTAAAAACACACATTCAGAAATTGGTTAATATGTCTAAGGAGATTTATTATACATTTTTACATATAAAACAGAGAATAGAACAATATAAATATGTATGTACCTAACAATTAATGAGTGTTACTGGTTTACGCAACTTATCATCAGAGATACCCTTTGCGAGGCACCGCAACCAACAGTGTTTTGAATAAAATCAGGGAAATTACTTTCTAACACTCGAACTCTTTGTCTACTAACATCAGGAATAACGTGAGTGGGGAGGTAACAATCTGGAGATTTATAGACGAGTTCGTAGTCCTTGAAGGATCTTCCCACTTCCCACCTGTACACCTCTGGTTTTCCTTCAAATCTAAAGAACAGCCCCGATCCAAGGTCGGTTCCTAGAATAACCACTTTCCCTTTTTTAGCTCCAAGATCTTGAATTTTCCCATCCGCACAACCCGACCTTAAGTAGTTTGTACGTATTCTGTATATTCTGCTTCCAGACAAGTAGGTGATCACCAAGTAGTTTTCATATCCTGGTTTATGGGTCAAAGCGATGTATAAGACATCTCTTTTGGAACAGACCAGGGCTCTTGGCAAAACTACTCTATATCCAATGTTTCCTGCCACATCAAATACCAAAATCGACCTAGTGGCTGCGTCACTCACATAAACGAAGGGCCTACCATCAGGAGCATACTCTACTACGAGGTACTGCAATCTAGACGCTTGGCAAACTAGCCCTGAGAGGTCTACAGTTTTGACTTTCTTTCCAGTCAAGACGTTGATGGCTATAACCTTAGGCGGAGCTCTACGAATGGGTTGAGTCAAAGTGTTGACAACTCCAGTGTCCAGAACCCATAGGATACTGTTTTCGTCCAAATATAAGTCTACTACGTTTTGGAGGGTGGTCGAATCTCCCTCCTCCTGAGATGCCCAACTAGGAAAGGGCAGTAGCACTGCTTCACATCCTTTTTGTTTGAAACTAACTTTAGCTAAAGTTACTGGCACGCCGGGTTTGTATCTGGGAAGAGCCAGGAAGACATCGTCTTTGAAGATTTGGCCTCTTGTGGCAATAATGTTCTTGGGTATGTAACGTCCTGATGATTTGTAGATGGATTTAGTAGCACTGTTGGGCCACTCAAACTGACCTCCAGTCCATTCGATGAGATCGCAGGAGTTTTGTGCGTCTACGCACAAGCTCGCTAGGATCGCCACCAGAATCCCCTTGAAAATCATTATTCTGAAAGTAAAAACAAGTTGTAAGAAGAAAGAATTAGTTTAATTTGTTATGTTAAACTTACCTTGCGTGTAATTCAGAATGCAGTAATCGGTGGCAATGATGTGTTCTTGTCTTTATATATTAATAAAATTGTTTAAATTTCTGAGGTCGCTGGGAAAATGAAACGTGCTATAATGAAACTTAACACTTTATAGTACAAATTGTTTATACTTTTTCCTTTACCTTTTTAAATGGAACGATCTGATTCCAAACGCTGAAAGGTTGCGCACTTTAGTGACGTTAACTCATTAAAAAATATACACGGAGGTGTAACTAAAACCTAACATATTTCTACAAATATTAATGGCGTAATCGACGAAACAAATTGTCAAGGAAAGTTCGTATAAACGTGGGTCCAAAAAGCTTAATTTTCTAGATACAGTGTTCAGTTACGTAAATGATATTTATGCCATTCATAGACAACGTGATTATTCGGATAGCTATAAGGTATTTTTGTTTAAAATATAATTTTATGTAACATTTTTAATATACTAATTACATAAACATGGAACTTAATTTATGGAGATTTAATAAAAAATAAAGGTTGTTCATTTGAAGCCTAAATAAATATGTATTATATATTATACAGGGTGAGTCGGGAGTATCGCACCAAACTGCAGGAATGGATTTTACATTCCAAAATAATTTAAAAAACTCAAATGTTATTATGTGATTTTCATTTGTTTTCAAGTTCTAGCGTAGGTATAGTTATTACGATCCGAATCGGAACCACATAAAAACACTCACAAATTCTATGGAATCCATAGGCGTCCAGAAAATGTTTGCCCTGGCACGTCTAGATATACTATATTCCTATTTAGTTGGCGATATTCTCTAATTTTTTGTAAATATTCTTCCCGAAGTGTAACTATACGTCGTGATTCCATAATTACCATACGATTGTCAAGTTTTTTATGTTTAAAATCGCATTGTAATAAAACATGTAAAATATTTAAAAAATTATAATTATAATCAGGATAATCGCTTAATTTATCTCGTATCATGTTTAGAGTAGGAATAGAATAGAGGAGTAGTATTCTCTTTATACATATTATAAATTCTGCGCCGTATTACATCTCTGGTAAAATCGTCAATATTCTTTAATTCTGTATTTTTACGTTTCCTCTTTGATATCTTAGTTAATTCACTAATTCTTTTCCTCATTTCTTTATCACATGGTTCACTATTTCCTATTTTCTAACATTCTAAAGGAACATAATACAAGACATCTTTCATCTCGTGAGTCAAAAACTTTTATTAGCTAACTTTTCTATTTAAACAAGTAAGTGAGGAAAACAGTTTTTTCACTTTGCAGGGAAAACCATCAATTTTAGCGAAAAGTGACTCACAGACAGCTTGTAGGGAGTAAAATTATCTACAAAATGAGACTTGTTAAATTAAAATCGGTTAATAAACAAAAAGTTATTGCAAAAAAACAAGAAAAGTGCCAATTTTTTAATTTATTTATAACTATCGCATTTATTGTTAAAATTTTATAAAACCTATGACAAGTTGAGGATTTTGTCATACTTTACAAGTGTGCCAAAAGTGGGCGCTGTAGGTGCAATAGTTTTCGCACAATTCAATTTGTTTACGAGTATAACGGAGGCTCCAAAAGTTATGAACTTTAAGGCTTTGTACAGGCGTTAATTTTCAACCAAACATGATTCTGAAAGCATCATTGTAATCTTAAACACGTAATTAAGCGACCTATTAAAAAATATCACAGTTTTTTTGACATTAACCTTCTCAAATTGTGCATTAAAAAACCGTTCGTTTTTCGCTTATAAACAATTTGAATAAAATTGTTGCTATTTAAGCTACCTCACCGAAAATAGATACAGTGGATAGCTGGCAAAAAATACAAATTTAAAAAAAAAGCATCCTCTACGACCAACAGGGCCAAGATAAGAATTAAAAAAAAAAAAAATCGTAGCGCAATTGTTTATAAATATTAAGACTTGAATTTTTTGCAAAATAAAGTTTACGACGTAAACTACGATTTCCCGTGAATTACATGCAAATGTGGAAAATTAACGACTCACGAGCTCTTTAAAGAAGGTACTCGCTAAGTAAACTGTCCGGCGGCCGGCGGCGTGGTGGTGGGGGAAGCTCGTCCAAGTGAGCCGCGCGCGCAAGAAAAGTTAATTCCATTTAAGTTCAAATTGATGAGCGCTGTAAATTTTGCAATATCTCGGCTTCTACTCATCGTAGAAACTTATTTTTTTTTTAACTGGGGTAGCTCGACGAAAAAATAACAATGGGCATATTTACGAATTCGTAGAATAGCCCTGAACCACAGAAAAAATGCATCTTTCTGGGCACGAGATGAGAGATGTCTTGTATTATGTTCCTTTAGACAATTCTACAATAATCTCGCGGATAGAACTTTTTTCGAGTAAAAATCTTATTTGCTTGGCCTATTTATTATTATGGACAAGATAAATTATTTGGACAAATGTGGAACCTAAGTTTTTCTTGAATGACCGGTTCAGAACTAACAAATATTTGCTTAGGAACACACAATTTCTATAAAAACATTCCTATTACCTAGTATAAATAATAATTAATATTTAGCTAATATTACTTGTCGCAAGGATTGGGCCAAAAGTCGGACTAATGCAGGAAAGGCAAGGAAAAAGGAAAATATTTATTATTTATTGTAGTAGGATTCAAATAATAGATTTTTTTCTAAATCAAGTAAAAAAGTAGGAATCGTTTGGTGAGGTCTGACGCATTTATAAAAATATTACTAAGAATTCTGAGCGTAACCGTTTGAACAATGTGAAGGTTTCTGTTTTTCTAATAATTACTTAATTGTCGATAACGCTACCATATTATTATCTCTTCCGTAAGTAAAATACAACAATGGGTCGTATTAAGGAAACGTAAAATTAGGTTATTATTATTATTAAATACTATAATAGGGAGTTTATGAAATTATTTTAATGTTGCAAGAAGCATTTCTAACATTTATATAAAATAGGACAGTTGTGGATTTCGAAATAGTTATTATTAAAATTATTTCTTAAGTTTCAGTCGTCATGGAATAATCTCAGATAACAGTGTGAAAGTATCATAACTAAAATTAATTAAAACCTATTTTTTGATAATTTCAAAATATTGTTATCGTACCTACCACAAAATAAAGTATAAAATGTGAGCAATAAGAATTGTTTTATTATAGGTATTTTAGCATATAGGTATTATACTTTATATTGTGTGCTGACCCTCAATTTATTCGTATATAAAACAAAAATACATGTTATTGTTAATTGTTTATATTTTCAAATTTACTTACATATAAAAATTACATGAAGTCGAGTCTAGTCGTTAATTTATAAATCACACAAATTGCAAATCTAAAATGTATTAAACAAATGTATTATTGTAAATAAATAAAGTCAATTTGATCTTATAGAAATGTGATCCATTCTATTGCAGTGTTTTTTATTCAATTACAGTGGTATAAAGTTTGGCGGATTTATTCCTATTAGTAATGGAAATAGGAGGTTTGTTCAGAAAATATAACCGAAGTTTATTTTTTTTTATTCATTTTATACATTATACACACTTTTCCCAGCTGTGTTTCCATTTCACGACTCAATCCTGGATAGCTTCATTTGAAATGGCCTTTAAAGCTTGTGATGAATTTGCTTTGATGTCATCTATAGTCTGAAAATGGCGTCATTTCAGTACTCATTTTAATTTCGGAAGGAGCCAAGTCTGGCCAGTAAGGAGGGCATAGAAAGACAGTAATCTGATTTTTGGCACAAAACTGACTAATTGACAAAGCTGAGTGTGCAAGAATCATAAGTTGTCTCGCCACAACTCTGTTCTCTTTTTGCTGATTTTTTCACGTAACAATTATAAAATGCCCGGTTCACTGTTTCATCTTGAGGAAAGAATTCAAAATGTACAATATGATTTAAGTCGAAAAAACACTAAGCATCACATTGTCATTGGATCGAGACTTACGTGCTTTCTTGGGCGTGGAGATCTTTTGCCAATCCATTATGATGACTGAACTTTGATCTCAATATCGCTGTCGTAAACTTTGAATGAATATTTCATCGTCATTGGATTACTTGCCGACAAACATCCACACAATTTTCTTTTTGTTGTTCAGTCATCAAACGAGGAACAAATTTTGCTGCAACTCGCTGCATATTCCATTTTTCAGTCAAAATTTCATGGCATGACCAAATTGCGATGCTACCCTCTTCTGCAATTTCTCTGACAATCAATCAGCGATTTGCACGCACCAAATCTTTGGCTTTCTGAACATGGGAGTCATCAGTTGAAGTCGAAGGCCTTCCTAGATCTAGGGTCATCTCCAATTGACTGACGATCACTTTTAAATCGTGAAAATCATTCGTAACATTGCGTACGACCCAGAGCATCATCCCCCTAAGCTTGTTTCAAAAACTGAGACATTTCCGTGAAAGTTTTACCCAGTTTCACTAAAAATTTTACTTTGCATCGTTGTTCCAAAAAATCGGACACTTCAAAAACCGTCACAAACACTTAAACGCGTTGCACTCAAATAACAATACCACGAAAACTGAATGAGATATCAACAATCCAAGAACACAGAAGAGTTATGCACAGCGCAATGCTTCACTCCATTATCGTGTAATTCAACAAGTTCGGTTACTTTCTGAACAGGCCTCGTATAGCTAGAAAACTATTTTATGACATTACATTCGATTACCTAACAATTACTAATAAACTCTTTCTAATACTTTGTCCTTATAACATATTCTCGTAAAATTTTATGTCACTGTAATCGTAAAGAAATGTTCTATTCAAATACATACATATGTAAAATATATAAGGTTTTCTATTTTAATAAATCTGCCTTGGTAAAAGTATGTCCTACATATTAAAAAAGCAAGTTTCCTGCAACTTTCATCTTTTGTTTTCTTGAAAATAAGTGTCGGTTACTAAATATTAATCTAACAATAACGAAACAAATGTTTATCATTAAAACATGCACTAATTAGCAGCACCTTGATTGTATGTATTGGCATTTTGATAACAGAAACAGTGACGATTTCTGCAAAGTGGTTATAGTTTGTTCCTTATTATCATTATCTCCTTACGATTCCGTCGGTACTTTTTATTACATATTATACAGGGTGATTCATAAACGGTGACAAAAATGACCTCGCATTCTTTGATGAATTTTAAGGGGAGTGTTTCCTATAAAGTTTTTATCTAGGACGCTTCGTTAAAAATATTAAAAAGATACAGGGTGTTAAATTTTAAAAAATACTTTAAATTTTTTTAAATTATTAAAAAACTAGTGAGTGAACTAATTTGAAATTCGGCACATGTGTTTATGTAATATTGTCCAAAATCTGAGGTCTTCTCCTAAAATTTAGATGTTTCAGTGGCGGAGATACAGGGAATCGGTAGCATATTTTTCTAAATAAAATAGTACGCTACTGCTTTACGGTAACAATCATGATATTTTTGAATTCGTCTTGTAATTTTCTACAATTACTATACTTTTGTGTTTTTCTAAAAAAGCCTGATTTTCGAGTAAAACTTAAAAAACGAATTGAAAACACCGGACTTCAACCCACTGGACTTCTTTTTTGGGGTGCAGTTAAACGGCTGCTAGACAGTGAACAGTTAGAAGAAAGAATAAATAATGCTTTTTATCAGATCCAAGCATCAATAAATTTAAAACAAATTACATTTTCCTTATTAAAAAGCCTGTGTTCGTGGAAACGGAGGTTTTTTTTTGAGCATTTACTCAAATAAAAGCATTAAAATGATGGCTACTGTATTAATTTGTTTATTCGGTTAAATGACCGAATGATTAGTGTTTGTCATGTCAGTAAAAGTGTTTTCAGTTCGTTTTTTAAGTTTTACTCGAACATCAGGCTTTTTTTCGGAAAATATAAAAGAGTAGTAATTTGTGGAAAATTGAAAGACGAATCCGAAAATATCATAATTGTTACCGTAAAGCAGTGGCGTACTATTTTATTTAGAAGAATATGCCACCGATACCCTGTATCTCCGTCACTGGAGCACCTAAATTTTAGAAAAAGGTCCCAGATTTTGGACAATGTTTACATAAATACATGTGCCCAATTTCAAATTATTTCACTTATTAGTTCTTAAATTATTTAAAAAAAATGAAAATATTTTTTTAAGTTTAACACCCTCTATCTTTTTAACGAAGCGTTCTAGATAAAAACTTTATGGGAAAAACTCCCCTTAAAATTCACCAAAGAATATGAGGTTTTATTTTTGGTCACAGTTTGTGAATCACCTTGTATAATTATTGTTGCACGATTTGGAACAGTTATGTTAATAGGTATATTTTTTTCAAATCGCTGACAGAAAATGTTCTACTACTGCGAATTCAATTACATTCAATAGAACATTGATGTATGATCAAAACACAGTGCATTGGCACATATTCAAGGTAGATACGTTAACCTGTTCACATTGAACTAAATCAACATTTTTAATTTTCAAGGTTAGGATGTCTGTAAAATCTAAATAAAATGATATTGTTAACTTCGACATGCTTTCATTCAAAAACAATATTAGATCGCGATATATAAAATTCAAACAGGTCAAATTCTAGTACTTATTCCTCCTCGCAGTTGGCCAAGGCTTGAGAGGTAATTAAATCTTAAAATAAATATTTTACCAAATAACTAAATTCGTCATAATTGTTTGTAGGTGCTATAATGGGGATATATTCAACAATTTGTTTAGCTACTGTTTTGCGTGCTGTAGTGTATGGGCAGAGTTGTACCAGAAACATAGTGCCAGACCTAAGCTTCAAATTAACGGGCAGTGATGTCGCTTTTCCGTGTGACAGTACCAAAAACATTTATAAAACAACAGGTCGTTACGTCCCCAAAAACATAATAGCCACGAGAATGCAGATTTACAAAGACCAAGCTATCATCGCTTTACCCAGGTATAAACACGGAGTACCTTTTACCTTGGCGACGTTTTCTTTGAAATCTAAAGGTTGCAAAGCCACCCTAAAACCATTCCCATGCTGGGACATCCAAGAAGAAGGTAACTGCGATGCTTTACAAAACGCCGCAGATATTTGCATTGACCCACTGGATAACATTTGGGTTCTGGATATCGGTTTAGTGAACACATTGGAGCAACCTGTACGTCGCTGTCCACCGAAGATTGTAGGAATCGACTTGAAGACCGGTTTGGTGGTCAAAGTAATCAACCTTGATTCTTTCGTGACACCAGAGAGTCGTCTTCAGTACTTAATAGCTGATTACTCTAAGGATGGTCGTCCATATGCTTACGTCGCCGATGGTGGAGCAGGAGCTATCATCGTGTTCGACATAACAGCTGGTACAGGGTACAGAGTGGTGCTACCAAAAGCTGCTGGAGGTGGTCTCACAGAATCTTGCTCCAAAGACGTGTTGTACATTCAGCTTATAAGGAAGCCATCAGGCAACAACCTCTACTTTACCTACCTGTCAAATCCGAGGTTATTCTCCATCAAAACTGAGTACCTGCAAAGTGGTAAAGCCTCTGGTGCTGTTATCGACGTCGGAGCTAAGCCTCTGTGCCAGAAAATCGTACTGTTGGGTACTGATAATGGAGCTGGTATCTTCTTCCGGTACAAAGGAGAGTCAGATATTTTTATATGGAACAGTGAGACTAGCTTCAAGCAAGACAACTTCATCCTGGTACAGAAAGGCGACGATTGCAGACTGGCTACTGAGGTTGTTGCTGGATATAGGAAGCTTATGTGGGCCATTGAGAGTAATTTCCACGATTACATTCTTAATACTAGTGGATGTCTTGGACCCTCGATGGCTGTCCACCCTCTTATCAAAACTTGCGATTAGATACTTTTGTTAGTTAGATAAGGTGCTATAACTGTGATTGCTCAATTTGTATGTTATTTCAATATTAGATACCGTATATTTATTACGTGTCATTTTTGCTTTAACTAATCCCATTTGAGGCAAACGTCTCTAAACTGATTTGCTTGGTTGTAACACTAAATATTCATATGTTGAATAGAGAATATAAAGAAATTAAATTTGTTATTTCTTCTCATGTAATTAAATTTGTATTTTTTTATATTTATGTGTAATATCAATACTTACAAGTAATAATAAAGTAGAAGCAGGACGTTTTTATAATTTGTTAAGTATCTTCCTACCTAAATATTTTTTATTACTTTAATAATGCTACTTAAAATCTACTAAGCAGTCATTAGAGAGCGCTGTTTGCAAACGTCAATTTTTTTTTTCATATCAAATCAATTCGTATATAAAAGTTGATCTAAATATCTTAACGAGAAATGCAATGATAAGGAAGGTGTATCATTTAAAAAAAATAAGTGAGTAGAAAATAATTTTAAAATGTAGAGAAATTGATTTGGGGCGGCTTATATTCGCGGTACTTCTTTGTACTAAATTGGTATTGTCAAAGTTGTGGAAGAATCCACCTCAAGTGGCAAACCCTGTAATTTTAAACAATATCTGCGTGCGTGCATAGGGCTACCTGGGAAGGTTTTAACTAAACGCCGGCAATTTTTACCTTTTGCGGTTAATATAAAAAATATTACAGAGTGCTGGTTACCTTAGAAAATTGGTGTAATTTTGCTTACGGTGAGGATATGAAAGTTAACATAACTCCTAAACGAAGCATATTTCGACCTACGTTTATATGAACTTTTTTTCACAAAATAACTTCGGCAACCACCTCCTAAAATATTTCGCACTTATTTACAAACACCTGTATATGGCTCTGATAATACTAGAAATCTTGAAAATATATTGTCCAAAGTCTTTGTTCTTGAGTATTTGCACTCGCGTTATTCTCTTCAGGGATGAACCTCATTTTACTTTACGTTTTACAGAAACCTATATAAAAATTCGTTAGGCACTTAAAGGCAGCTGATTTTTTTATTTTACAGATAATAATTTTGTCTTTTACGTCCAATAAGTTAAATGACAAAATTCTGCAGAATTATTAAACGTTCTTCTTCTAAACTTAATTATTTTTTATTTTATAATATAACGTAAAAATCATGTAAGTCTAGTAGTTTATTAGTATTTTCTATAAAAATATTTGGTATTTTAACCTACATCATAATCTACTTACTTTTATAGTTGATTCCATTTTGTTAGAAATAGATCGATGTACTCTACGAAATTTTCTAATTATTTAAAGACAAGTATTGCTTCTTCCCCTGCGCACAGTGGGGATTTCGAGGAAAAAAGTCATAAATTCAATATACTATTAATGCAATATGCAATGGTATTTTTAAATTTCGAAATAACTGTTACAATCAAATCAAAAAGAATTACTTTGATCTGACTACTAGTTTTTTTTTAAACCGTTTCAAACTCATTACTTGTATGTTTTATTGAACTGACTGAAATTTAACCTAAGAATTTCAAGACGAATATTATTTTATTGCTTGAGCTGACATTTTTATTTTTGTTTTTTATTTAAAATAGGATATTTCAATAAGCTAAAATTGAAAAAATAAACACTGCAGAGACTTTTATTTTCTGTTTAAAAATATTTTTATGAACATAGAATAAAAAAGCCCTATTTCTCCAAACACTTGGATCTCTAATTTTAGCTACATTTGCCTACAGTTGGAAACCACTACCAACACATTGTCTAATACCAGCTTCTACATTTTAAATCAATTTCAAGTGCTCCTAGGTGCTCCTTTTTAATTAGTTGCATTTATAACGGAACGCTACATAGGGAATTAGCTTCGTTCGAGTTCGTAAATTCGGAAGGGTGGGGAGCGCTGGGTGCTGCAACCTGACAC